TATTTACAAGCATATGTGATGTCATCAGAATATCAATCTTACATCACCATAGATACAAATAAACCCAAAGAAACTAACCAAACAAACAAAAGAAAATAACTTAAACTTGCATTATGTTCACAAAACCCGATCACAAACATTTTAGAACCTCCTTGGGAGGTGCACCGGTTAGCTGACTCAAACAGATCTCTAGGCGAACCTCACTGACCTGGTCTCGCACGTGATCACTTACACACATAAATAATACGGTGAGCTGGAGCCCAATGAATAACAAGAGTAAAGGGTTATGAATGATGTCCAATTCAGATTCAAAAATCAGAGCTCATATTAGATACAGATTCAGATTCACATACTTATATAGATTTCATAAGTAGTTATATGTGGTACATCCGTTAGCTATTAGATCAGATTGGTCATAAGACCCACATACAGAGTCGGTACCAATGACCATAAAAGTCAACATCTTTGTGCACAATTAGGCATGATATTATTACCCTTAGACAAGGGCCATGTGAACATAGGCCCCAGTATTGATACCCTTGGGCAAGGGCCATATGAACATAAGTCACGGTATTGTTACCCTCAGGCGATGGCTACGTAAACTAAGGATGCCACAAATACATTTCAGAAAAATGGACATTTATTCATAATTTATTTCAGAAAACAAATCATATCATTTCGGTCAGAAAATACTTAAAGTCAACATATCTTTACAAAGTTGTTATTCACAGATAACGCAATAGCAGAAGAGTCAAAACAGTCGGATCAACGATCTATGGCGCGTGACCTACACAAACACATAATGGATACACATTGAAACACACTCTCGGAAAATACTTAACTCATTTCTTATTTATTTTGGTGTGTTTCTAGTCTTCATCTCATTATTATGTCTTAATTAGGGCTTAGGAATACCTAAGATGCAATGAGGATGCCAAAATGTGATTTGCAACACTTAGTCAAATTTTCAAAAAGAGGGTAGTCTGCTCGAGCACAACATTAGTCGCTTGAGTGGTCTGCAAAAGTACTGGTTGCATGATTTTTTCGCTCGACGGACGCTCGACGGTCGCTCGAGCCAAAGACTGAGTAAATAGGGTCCTCGCTCGAGCGTAACTTTGGTCGCTCGAGTGGTTTGCAAAGTTCTGCAAAACTTCTAGGAGTACGAATTTTAGGCTAGAGCTTAGACTTCTTCGCTCGAGCGAAGGTACAAATGTAAGGGTGGGTGCTCGAGCCCAAGTTCCGTCACTTGAGCTAACCCCTAAACTCTACTAAAGTATTGGGAGCTTGTATTCTTCACTCGAGCATAGATTCCACTGCTCGAGCAGAGAGTGATAATTTTGGAATTTTCAAATTTGCTTCCCAAGTTCAAAACTCAATTTTAAAGCTTCAAAACACATCCTTTTGGGCCAAAACTTGGTAAAACAGAAACTCATAGTATATAATGATTTACATACCATTTCTCAAAATTAAGCCCAAAAGTTTTGCCAATTGTACAAAACAAAACTTGAAACTTCCAAAACATAACATGCATGACTTGTTATGAACTTAAACCTTCCAAAACATGATCAAATGAGGTACGATGATGAGAAACTTGATAAATCCTTAAAACAAAGCCAAGATAGACACATGCATATGAGATTTGTTTGAAATTCAATGTAACAACCCGACCTTCTAACATGCTTCATATGCTTTAATTCTCTCATTATATATGTTATTATATGTGTGTTTATGTGTTTGACGAGAAATTCCATGTTTATAAACTTGTATCTATCGGTTATGAGAAAATCTGTTAGAATTACAACCTTTGGATTGAAAATTGAAAGCTTTAGAGGTGCGATAAACAAAATTGACTTTATAATTGTGATTAGCATGATTTTTAGGATATAATAGGAAGTTTTTCTATTTGGGAAATTTTGTTTTAAGGCCTTCGTCCAGGCCAGTCATGTCCTAAACTTTTAGGGGCATGTTTGGGTCATGACAATTGGTATCAGAGCATGATTTACCCTCTGACACATGTGTTCATTTGAGCTATAGGGTGTCCTAGAAAAGAAATGAGGCATTGCATTGCATGTGTGTGTGTGTGTGTGTATGTGAATATTTTGTGCACATGTAAACGAAATGGAAAGAGCACATTTGAACTAAAATGAAAGCAATTTATTTGAGTTAGAATGACTATCTGGGGTGAAAGGAATCGGACACTGAAAAGTGAGTGCTGTGAAAATTGTAAGGAGTATTGCTTTGTTGCCTTTGGGAAATGGAAAGAAAATTGTACGAATTGATGCAAACATATCTGAAATGCATTGGGAATGACAATTCTGAACACTATTGCCTCTATTTCTTGTAAGTAGATCAGTGGAAAATGCAAGACATATAGATGGGATGGAATCAACAGTGTTGTGCAGTGGAAGCATGGTGGGAGTTCAAGCTCACCGGTAAGACAACTAATGCAGATTATATACAAATGGTTTGATGGGATGTGTATTATCAGTTATTATATGACTGTGTTTCCTATCATCTGTTTAGATGGATTGATTGAACTCTAAGTGTTGACTATTCCTGAGACTTATTAACCAAATAAAATGATATATGCGATGTTTTAACTTTATGACATGGACAAGTCATTCTTGTGATTTTGAGACCTGTGATTTTCAGAATTTATTGTGCTTAGACATTTTGCTAAGACTTGTTTTGTATGACACTTTGAATTGTGTTGAGTATAACCAGCTATCATAAGAAGTTATGCATATAGTGACCTCACTTAGCATTGCATTGATTGTGATTTTGTTCCCTATTGATTTCTTATATGGAATAAGAGAATGGCATGCACATTAGCTATGGTTAGAAATTTGATTATTAACCTATTGAACTGATCTGGTCAAGCATTATGAACTATGAGCTAGAAGCAATATATGGCTGATATGAACCGAGATAATTGCTGATGACTTCTGATGAGTACTATTTGTGTGTAACTGGGAACTCATTTTGTGACATATTTCCATGTAAACATGCAAATGTTGGATTTTGCAACTTGATGGATTAGCCCTCTATTTTGCACTTGAATGCTATACTATGAACACAGTTGAGAATATCTTTATTATGATAGAAATTGATCTATGCTATGAGAATATATGAATAAGGGGATGATTGCTACCATGTTCCTGTACTTGGGAATTGACGTTATAGAACTTGTTGACAGGGAAATATTGTGACTGTAAAGCCTGCCTACTGGGGAATGTATGCTTTGTTACAACCTTATCTTGTTAGGCACATGATTCTATGGAATGGACATATGGAGTTGTTTTCAAATTCTACATACCTGAAATGGAACAAGACAATTTCAATGGTGAAAATTAAAAGGTAGTAACACTATGGGAAAAAAGCCACTTGGGAAAGAGAAGAGGAAATGAAACAATGGTATTCGAAAGTTTGAGGGATCAAACATGTGACGCCCCGATTCTACACTATTGGTTGCGGTCAAGGGAGAGTCACTAATGAGTCCTATGGTCAATAACCAAGTAAGATCCCAGATTGTCGGAGGAGTCAAATTAGACTCCCTTCTAAGTCTAGCTTTCTTAGGCAGCGCATTGCCCTTTTGACAGATCTTAAAAGGTATTGACACAAGGTCTCATAAACAACAATAAGGTTCATGTATAGAATATAAATACATAACTATCACAAATATACTTAATTCAAAAGTGTGTTCCATTACATTACATCCAAAAGAAAGTTTAAATCTTCACGTGAGTCTTACAAAATATCAAAAAGAAATTTCTAGTTTCCCTAAGATAGCCAAAAGTCTTCGAAAGTTTCAGGCTCGTCGTCACCAGCTATGACTTCCGCTTCGTCACCTGGCATGACACGCCATGAGCTTTGAATGCCCAGTAAACGCACACACATCCCGTCCCTTTTTTCCCAGTCCAATACACAATCACGATTTTAACATCAAGTAGTAAACATGATATTCAAATAAATAAAGAGCTAAGTTGGATGTTAGTAAACTAGAAATCCCCCAAAGAGATTTCGTCCTCCCGACCACAAGAATCGGACTTGGATTATTCGGTATGCCCCCTCTTTTACTGCTTTGTTGCAGAACTAACCTCGGATGCCTACTAACAGTTATATACCGTGTAGCGCCAACCGCAGGGCCTCAAAAGAGACAATAAAATAGGGCCTTTCCCGAATCCCTCCTCACACCAAACCACCTAGGGTCCGGATACAACCGCTCCGTTCAAGGGTCCTGAAAATCACTTGCGCAAGACTTTAACTTCCAAATAGGGAACGCATCCCAACAAACCATATATCACATATTCTCATCTTTTCATTACTCAAGTGTTCGAAAACCCAATACCCTCCCTATTAGGTTTCCTGTTGAATTAAATGTTTTAAATCAAGGTTAATCCAACTTACAAGACAATAATATCCATGTAAGCATGCATTCTTAAGATGAGAAAGGTAAATAACATAACCGCAACTATAACGACTCGGATTTTAAATTCACATTGGATTGATATATAGTGGTGCTTGTCACCTTAAAATTTGTATGGTTGTCGGACTCTTGATATTGATGGGTTGGCAGGTGAACTATAAATATTGTAATTGAGGACCCTTGGATGATGTTTGGAACCTTGATCGAAGCCTTAACAAGATATATAGATAAGATTAGATAAAAAGTCCCAAATTTGAGTTTGAATTTTTGACCAGCCGTCACTCTTTTGCCCTTTTCTCCTTCCATACTTAGAATTTGAATGTGAGGTTGGAATCATTGGAAAGCTTGTTTCCGGGGCTTCAATTTGAACACAAGAACGGCCTAGAAAGGAGTCCCGATGAGAGAGTTATACCCGTTTGAAGTTTTCACATCTGTATTGGAAGCAGAGCCGCCGGTGCGGGGAATAGCGCCGCACGTGCGGGCTGTGCGGGACAGCAGCTCAAAAACGTGATTTTTGGACCATTTCTTACATTTTATTTTCCTCTCTTCTTCTCCCCTCTTCCATGTCCGAAAACTTACTCCTAAAAACCTTGATTTCCTCCACTTTTATCAACAAATCAACCATGGATTTTGCATCAACGATGAAGAACAAGTGAAGATCAACATTTTCAACCGATTGGATTTTGGAATTTCGAAGTGATGCTCTTGACCTAGCTTCCTTGCTTTCAATCTTGAGGTAGGGGTCCTAGTTCTCCTTCAATGCTTACATAAATAGATAGATTTTTGGTATTTTGGAGTATATAAATGCAAAATCTACATTTTGAGCATATAGGGTTATATTATGGAAATTTGGGGATTTCGGATTTGAAGAATTTGGGGTTTTATTGTTGGGTGTAGATTATGGATTATGAACCTAGGATATATAATCAAGGGGAAAATTGGAAGAAAAAATAATGGGTTAAGAACTTTGTATTTTTCTTGAAATTTCTAGGTTTTTCTAGAAACCCTAGGTTGATTTTTGATGATAATCAATGATTTGGCCCAAATTGAAAGTTGAATCATGAAATTGGTAGGTTGAATTATCTATGTACAAGTTTAATTGGAATTTGGTTATGTTTGAAAATTATGTTTAAAATTTGCGAATGAATTTTGTTATGAGCAATGTAAATCATGTTATAATGAGAAGGAAATTGGAGGAAATGATTTATTAATGATATAGATGACATGAACTCGGTTATGGAATGTTGAAATGGAATTTAAGAATTCCTCTTGAATTATGTTGAATTATGTTTAATGATGTTGAGTTGAATCATGTTGCTTATGTTGAATTGTAGTATTATGTGAGATGGTATTGACTATGTTGACTTTGATTTTTGTGACCTAAAATGTGGAGTTTTCCAAAATGGGTTAATCCCAAATTATTTTGCTAAATACTTGTGGGCTTGCTTAGTTATTAAAATCAAGAGAATGATTTATTTTTTTGGAAAAATGTGGAAGATGTCCATACAATTCCTTCCTATCTTGAAATCGAAGTGATTGATTATAAATTCCATATTGTGTTTGCAAGAATGGTAATCTTCTATTTCTATATATAGCTATATTGAGATGGAGGAAATTGTGGTATAATGGATAGATAATGGTAGGCTTGTGAAGAATAATGAAGGAAGGAAAAAGAACTAATGACTAAGTTATATATGTGTACAGGGCACACTTCAGGAGGGCCAAGCACTCAGTTGTAGCACTGTGAGTAGTAGTACTTCGATGTATCTTTAACCGTTAATGATTATTGTTATTGACGTTATGAGCTTCGTCATAAGAATTATGTTGACATGTATGTTATGTATGCTACGTAAATATTGTGAAATTATGGTAACATCAAAGGTGTATGCTATATGAGGAACATTGTGAAATTATGGAAACATCAAAAAGGATTTGTGAAATATGCATATCGAATTTGTGAAGTATGGATCACCAACTTGTGAAATATGAAACGATGTGGCCGAGGGCCATTTGTGAAGTATGAATTTCTGAATTGTGAATTGTGAAACTATGAAGCCAAGAGCCGAATTGTGAACCTATGAAACCCAAAAACTAATTTATGTATATGTGAATTTATGAGGCCAGGGGCCGACTTGTGAATTTATGAGGTCGAGGGCCGACTTGTGAATTTATGTGGCCAGGGGCCATTTGTGAACTATGAACCTATGTGGCCAAGGGCCATTTGTGAAATTATGAAGCTATGAGGCCAAGGGCCAAACTTGTGAACTTGTGAATCCAAAGGGCCGAAGGCCGATGTGATAAGTTGTGAATCTGTGAAACCTAAAGGCTATCGTGAATGTGTGAACCCCTCAGGCCAAGGGCGGAACTGTGGAATTGTGAAACTGATAAAGTCATCTATAATCTAATGAAAATGTGCTTACTTTGTCCTGTTAACTTTATGTTAATTATGTCAACTTGTGGGAATGATATAACGGTTACCATTAGGACTCTATTAATTACAAGGCAAGGCAACTATGTTAACGTATAAGAACGATTAAACAACGGTGTATACTATTGATTAATAGAGCATGTGAATTAAGTCATTTACCCAAAAGAATTTATGTTCATTCTTGAAGAATAGATTCTGAGTAAATATAAGAGTAGCTATGTGTATCCATATGAATTTGAAGTTATTTTGCTATGTTGCTTATGAATTGGAAGTTATTCAGGATCTACGATATAAGTGCAAAGTTTAGCATTATTATGTGACTCTCATGAGAATGTGAATTAGTCTCTTGTTGTTAAGCGTACGATAATGACATGATACAACAAGAAACGCTCTAGTTATAATATGTTCCGTTTGAATTAATGAATGATGTTCAAGTATGTTTCAGGCATGTTTCCAGTATGTTACAAGTTCAAGTATGCTCAGGTATGTTTCAAGTATATGTTACAAGTTTGAATATACTACAAGGTCAAACAAGTTTCAAGGGCTTTATGCCAATGTTTCAAGGGCCTCGTGCCACCACATTTCAAGGGCTTATAGCCATCAAGTTTATGTTGCAAGATTGGGCCTAAGGCCGTTATGTACTTAGCACAGAATCAGACTATTAAATTGACATGTATTATGTTTCAAGTTAAGCATCATTTTATTTATGTATTACTATTCACTGAGCCCGGCTCACTCTCTATTATGTCTGTTTCTGTAGGTCACCAATCAGGTGGTCAGTCCTAGCCAAGACGCCCGCTTTCTTTTGTCAACCTTCGTATGTCCAGGCACTGTATAAGCCATTTGTTTTGTCAAGTTGTTAAGATGTTGACTTGCTTATGGGTGTCCCTCTAAGGTTGTTGTATATACTTTCATGTTCGTTTTTTTGTATACGCCCAATCATGGGGCTGGCATTGTAAATTTGTATGTATATGCACCGGGTTATAGTTGGAACTTTATCTATCCACTATAATGCATGTGATGAATGAGATCCTGGCATGTAGAAGTAGCTCAATGGAGTTTATTTGTTTCATTATTTCCATTTTTTTCGTGCTTCCGATAAGGCCCCGTATGTTATGTTACCAAGTTACATGTTCGTTTCTGAATAGGTCATGCCCAAACTTTTAGGGGCGGGTTTGAGGTGTGACAGCAACACATATAATATCATGCCAAGATATGATCATAAGCTAATAAGCAATCTCATGAACTCAAGGGCATAAAACATCCACCATAACACAATTTACGGATTTAGTATCGCATAAAGATTAAAATGAAAGGACTATTTTAGATCTTTCACCAGACTCGGCCTTCCTATGGCTCGTAGAGAATTTGGTCTAGTTTCTAGAACATATTTCAGAAATGGGATAGTCTTTCTAGATTTTAAGTTATTTAGAAAACATTCCTGCGCTGTCCAGATTTGTCGATCATTACGAAAATTTGATTTTCTTGCAAACCGCTCACTGTTTTTCTATGAAACCAATTTTAGTTGAAAGATAAATCCTTAAGGAAGATTTTGACATAAAATATAGGTCCAGAATAATTTTATACATTTTTCTAGAATTTTTGAAAGTGGGCTACAAAAAAAGATTCTAAGGTAAAATGCCCAAAACAAGAAGATTTATGAGAAATGGATTCCACCAAGGGAAAATTTTCGTTTCTTTTATGATGAAAACATGCTAACTAACATATATTAAACTCAGAAAAATTTCTTGAAAGTGTGCCCTTGGAAAGTTGAGAGATTGGTATGAAAAAAAGATGGTTTTGTGCCGAAATGGGGAAAATACAAGAGAGATAGAATCAATACTCAACTCTTAGCATTTTTAACACAAGTAACTCATCATTAACAGATTTGAAAACATTATTTAGAACCCTTAGAAACATGTATTTGAAAAAGGAAATGAAAGAGAAGGTTGTGTTGTGGCTTACTTGCTAAGCTTTGAACAAGAAGGCTCTCTTCTTCCTCCTTCTTCCTCTCTAGACTTCTCTCTCTTGCTCTCCTCCCTCTCCTCTAGCCGAATGTGTGTGTGAGTGTGTTGTTTGTGCTTGCCAAGCTAGGGAATGTTGGTATTTATAGACAATTTTTGATGTAAAAAGCCCTAAAAGTCCATTAGTTGGAAATGGATGGAAAGGCTAGGATTTGTTTAAAGTTTAAAGGAATAGGAGTGATTTGGGGGGGCTTACTCATAGGTTTAGGCAACATTTAGTTGAAATGGAACTAGTATTGGAATTATCATCCTAGGACTAGGGTACTAGGTTTGTGGTTTTCTAGAATTTCATGATGATAAACTTTGAAAATTGGCTCCTCACTTTCTCCTAGAATGGCTGGCCTTAGGGAAGGGTGGATAAGTCTATTTTTTTTTTTTTTTTTATCAATTTTAGGCTCTAGGACACACTCCTCAAGGTGTATACATATATATATTTCACTTGATTGATGGTACTCATGGTACAAGGGTACAAGTACTAGTTTTTGGGGAAAATTTGAATTTAAATAAAGAGTGAGGGTTTGGTATTAAATTCATGTAACTTATGTAGAATTAAATTAGGTTAGGGAACCTAATCCGGCTAGGGATGCTTTTATGGATGCTTTTACATGTATTTTGTCATATAAGGCAAGAACATAGCATGATTTCATGGGATTCATGTTTATAACTTGTTTTCTTGCATGATTTCTAAGATTCATAAAGATTTCAAGGGACCTTCGCCATGGATCTTGAAATTATCACATGTATAGCTTTTGATTTTGTGCTTGACTTCAAGTCTTTTAGCTTGTAAATGGAATTTTTCTTTTGCTTTGAAATTATGATTTTGATTAAAGGTAGAATTGTTTAATTCAACATGGTTTTGAAAGGTTTTGGGCCTTGATTTGTATTAAACAAAGTTTTTCCACTTATATAAGTTAGGGTTTTGGAATGATGATCTTGCTTGCACAACTATTATGAAATGAAAATAGATTCTTCACATTTTTTTATTGATTTAAGAGTTGATTTCCTCATTTTTAGTGTGATTTGAGTTTGATTGTGAGAAATTGTATCTAATCTTGAAGCTTTGAACATATACAAACATGTATAATATGAAAAGATGAAAGAAGTGAAGGAAATATGTAAATTAGATTTGTATATGTCCAATTAAAGTAGGTTATGATCATATTAAGATTAAGTTTTATGCCTTTCATGGTTGTATGTCGTCTTTTTTTGAAGTGAAATTGCTTAAACTGTGCCTTAGAACTACATTTGGAAAGCTTGAGTTTGTTGGATTTTCAGACTGGACAATTAGGGCCCAGAATCGTATGTGCGGGGCTCACAGCCGCATGTGCGGGATATACAGCCACACGTGCAGAAAACAAGGGAAGAAACTTGGACATTCTGAAATAAAAGCACTTGCAGGGCACCTCTACGCACGTGTGATGGGGCCTTCCGCACGTGCAGGAAACAGAGAGAAAATCTGCAGCTTTTTGTACTCCTTTTTGACCCTTTGAATCTATGTATGTGTATGTTTCAGCCCTCCAAAATGTTTAAAAATAAATAGAGAGGGAATGAAATGGAAGAATGATCTATGTGTGTGATGTGTAGGTCACTCACCGAAAGGGACCATTGCATGACCGGATCACTGTGAGTAATAGTAGTGTAACAATATGTTGAATGTTATGATTTATATATATTCGTTCACAAATGTTAAGTTTTATACAACTTGTGCTTTGGTTAAACTGGTTGAACACTTGACTGTAATGACATATGAAATGGACCTAAGCCCGTTCTGTAATTATTGGGCCTAAAGCCGTTCTATAATTATTGGGCCTAAGGCCGTTCTATTATTATTAGGCCTGAGGCCGTTTTGTTATTATTGGGCCTGAGGCCATTCTGCTATTATTGGGCTCAAGACCGTTCTGTCATATGTGGGTCCAAGGCCGTTCTGGAATGTGCTGATGAAAAGGACATACATGTATTACGTACATATTCTTCAAGACACATGCTCATTCATATGCCTTCATACATTATTATTATTCACTGAGCCTGGCTTGTTCCATATTCATGTATGTTTTGTAGGTGGTCAGCTTGGAGGCTAGCCCTAAGTCAAGCTTTAGGAACCTTTTGGTGGACCTGTTTTGTTATGCCTCCAATGTTGAGCCATTGTCTGTTTGAGAAGTTCCTTTAATTCCACCTTTTTATTAAGCTTTTTGTGGCTTCTCGGTAAACACTTTGATAATATAGTAATTTTGGATGGTTAACTTTTTGTACATATTTACATGATCTAGACTATGTATGTGGACATTCTAAATACAATATGATATTTTAAGAATCCTGGCATATAAGCGCCACTCAATGGACGTTCTTATTTCTATTTGCTTTCGTTTTAGGCCCCATTACTGAATAAAATATTTTGCTCTTTCGGAAATTTTGTTTTGAGGCCTAAGTTTAGGACGGTCAGGTCCTAAACTTTTAGGGGCAAGTTTGGGCCGTGGCATTCAAACTCAAAATGTGATGAAAATGCATGAATGCGTGATATGATCTTCCTTCCTATTTTATAAGCTCAATTTTTGCATTACTCAACTTAATTCTCTAGAGTTCAAGTCCTTGATATCATAATTATATAATCTAAGGGTTCAATTCTTACCTAGGCTTTCCAAAGTGAGCTCTAAAGGCTTAATCCTTGAGTCTCTAAGTCCAAAACCTTCAACACTCTACAATTCTTCTTTCTTTCCTTGAATTCAACTCTTTCTCTGTCTCTGTCTCTCTGTCTCTGTCTCTCTCTGTCTCTCTCTCTCTCTCTGTCTCTCTCTCTCTCACACACACACACACACACACAAACACACGTTTTGAGTCCAAGAAGAGGATAAAATGCTAGTGTCTAACATAATCTAGAGTCAATTGTGCCTTATGTAGACTTAATAAGGTTGCATTAATTAGTTTGAGTTAATAATAGTTAGTTAGGATTATTTTATTCTAATTAATTGGGTCCGAATCGAATTTCAATTAAACCTACCATAAAATTCCAAAACTTCCAAATAACACATAAAACCAAGTCAATTTCATGATCAGATGTCAATAAGGTCTTCAATTTGCATAATGACACAGAAACATAGACAGATCTACCTACGCCAAACAAATATAAACACATATAGCACAATATACATGCAATTCATATAGAATTTCCTCTTAATTACTTATTAGGCATGCTTAGTCATGGTTTAACAATTAATCACAGATCGGGGTTGTTACAGTCTTTTCCCCTTAAAGAGTTTGGTCCTCCAAACTCGAGTTACTTTCATTTTGGAAGAGTATTAGATTCAGTGGGAACAAGTCAGGGTATCTCTTCATCATATCTTCTTCGGTCTCCCATGTCGCATACATCTCTCTATGATTTTTCCAATTAACCTTCACTAACAGGATTTCTTTATTTCTCAATCTCTTGATTCTGCGGTTTATAATCTGGATTGGTTGTTCTTCATATGTATAATCATCTTACAATGACACATGTGTTGGCTCAATCACGTGTAATGGATCTCTCAAATAATCTCGGAGCATTGAAATATGAAATACATTATGCATTTGCACCATGATCAGCGGTAAGGCCACTCGGTATGTTACTAAGTTGATTTTCTCTAGAATTTTGTACCGACCAATGTATCTCGGAGCCATCTTTCCTTTCACTCAAAATCGTGTTTTCCCTTTTATAGGAGTTACTTTGATAATAAACACATGATCCCCAACTTCAAATTCTCTGTCTCTTTTTCGAACATCCGCATAACTCTTTTGGTGACTTTGTGCAGTTTTCAATCTTTGTTGAATCAATTTCATATTTTCAGTCATTTCTTACACAAGTTCCGGTCCCAAGAAAGATCTATCACCTACCTCGGCCCAACTGATCGGAGAACGACATTTCCTACCATATAAAGCTTCACAAGGAGGTATACCGATACTCGAATGGTAACTGTTGTTGTACACAAATTCAGCCAATGACAAGTAGGTCTCCCAATTTCCTTGGAAATCCAACACACACATTCTGAGCATATCTTCGAAGGTTTGAATGGATCGTTCAGATTGACCATTTGCCTGTGGGTGATAAGCACTGCTCAGTCACAACTCAGTTTCCAGAGCTTGTTGCAAGCTCTGCCAGAATCTTGAATTGAACTTAGGATCTCTGTCAGATACAATAGATACTAGCACACCGTGCAATCTCACAATCTCATTCACATAAATGTTAGCTAATTTGTTTGTATTATAGAAAGTCTTCATAGGCAAAAAGTGAGCAGACTTAGTTAAATGATCAACAACAACTCAAATAGAATCCATACCTCAAGAGGAGCAAGGCAATCTAATAATAAAGTCCATCGTAATGTGCTCCCACTTCCATTCCGGTATTGGAAGCGACTGTAGTAATCCAGCGGGTCGTTGATGTTCGGCTTTCACTAGTTGGCAATGCAAACATTTAGCTACAAAGTCAGCAATACTCTTCTTCATTCCAGTCCACCAGAAATTCTGTTTTAGATCTTTGTACATTTTTATATTTCCGAGATACATAGCAAATTCGAAGTTATGAGCTTTGGTCATGATACGCTTTCTCAATTCAAAACAATCCGATACACAAAGTCTTCCTTGAAATTTTAGAACATTGTCTTCAAACACAAATCTAGGCCTTGGTTTTGAATCAATCTCATCAACAATCTTTTTCAAAAATTCATCTTGTAATTGCTTTTCTTTAACTTCCTCAACTATGGCCGGTTGAGCAGAAATGGTTGCTAGAACTCCACCCTGTTCACGCAAAACCACTTCAATTTCATTTCTTTCCAGATCACGCAACAATTCTTTTTGTCCAGTGAGCAAACATGATAAATTCCTAATAGACTTTCGGCTCAAAGCATCTGCAATTGTATTTGCCTTTCTTGGGTGGTAAAAATCTACAAGTCATAATCTTTAATCAACTCTAACCATATTCTTTGTCTCATGTTCAATTCTTTTTGAGTGAAGAAATATTTTAGACTTTTATTGTCACGACCCAAACCCGTCCCTATAGGTTTAGCGTTGTAACCGGCCAGTAATCATTGGATTATCGAAGGCCTCTTAACAATTAGACTTGTAATTAGGGGTTGTAGAAGTAAATACATAAAAGAAATATACGTAGTCCATCGAGCTGTGCAGACATACATAGGACTAATAATCTTAACTTTTATAAACATACGAGTGACGTCATAGGTACAGCATTTACACTCACTTCATGTACATATAAAAGGAAAATTTGTTCATAGAGCAAAAGGAATTGTCTTATACATTCATATTAACACAGCCACAAGACATGACTTGATCTGAAACCTCCTCGTGACGCGCAAAAGGTGGCTGACAAACACAACATGAAATGCTTCAGGCATCATCTTAAGCCTGATCATGAGCCTGCTCACCTACATACATAATAAATAACTAGTGAGCGAAGGCCCAATAAATAATAACAAATTAAAGGGGTAAATGAATGATGTCCCATAAGTATGTCTGAAACCAAAGTTCATTTTCGTAATCTCATTCTAAACATGTATACAAAAATAAGAGTTCATGCTTAATCTTACATGGTGCATCCGTTAGCGCTGATAAATCATACTTGTCAGTTCTATAGAAGAACCTCCGACCGGGTAAGGATAACTTGTCAATTCCATAAAGAAACCTCTGGACTGGAAACGGATAACTTGTTAGTTCCACGTAGAAACCTCCAGCCGGGTACAAATAGCTTGTTAGTTCCATAAGAAACCTCCGATACCGGGAACTTGTAACATACTTGAATCATAACATAATGACATAAATGCTTGTTAGAGTTGGACAATCATTCATAGTATAAAACATGGCATATCATAGAACAGATCTTATTCCGTATACAGAAAATAATTTAGATGAGCATAGCTTTACTAAGTTATTACACACTGATAACAAATGCTGCAAGTAGACAATTCAACTTCCTTGTGGCGCGTGACCTACACAGTTACAGAACCAACGTATGTTGAATTACACACTCGGAAATGATAACTTAGTCCCTTCTTGTTTTGGTGTGTTTCTACTTCATTAACCTCATTATGGTGTCTTAATCATGGCCTAGGAATGCCTAGGGTGGAATGAGTATGCAAAAATGCACTTGAAAACATTTTTCAAAACTTGCTGAAAACAGGGTCCATGCTCGAGCGTAGCTTTCCTCGCTCGAGCGGACATGTAGAATGTAAGGGTTTGCTCTAGCGGTCTATAAACTTTAAAAAAGTATTGGTTTCTTGTTTTTCATGCTCGACAGACACTCGACCCCTACTCAAGCGTGAGACTCAGACCCTTGCTTGAGGGTGACTTTTGTCGCTCGAGTGTGCTGCAAAACACAAGAACTTCTGAGGGCTTGCATTTCACGCTCGAGCGTACTTCAGGTCATTCGAGCGGAAGTGTACGCACTCAGAGTGGTTGCTTGTGCATGGATTCCTCCACTTGAGCGTAGGTGCAAATTCTGGAATTTCCGAATTTGTTCCCAAAGCTCAAAACTCAAACTTGAAGCTTCAAAACTTGATTTTCCTGGGCCAAACTTGAGGAAATAAATGGAAACTCTTAAAACACCAAGATTTAAGGATCATTTCAAGAAATCGTGGCCCAATGGCTTGCCAATTATGCAAACATTCAACTTAAAATGTATGAACGTTCCATGAACATGACATGCATGAATTCCTTTGAACACAATCTTTTCAAAACATGATCAAATGTTACAAAACAACATGAAACCTGATGATTTCCTATAAAGTAAGGTGAATCCAAGACATGCATGAGGGAATTCTTGGAAATTAGTCTCAAAACATGAGAAAAAGTTGTCCAAACAAAGAGTTGGATTCTTACCTAAACTTCTCAAAATGAGAGCTAGAAGTTTGACCCTTGAGTTCCTAAATCCAAATTCACAAGTTCTCTAGCAATTTCAATAATTTGAGCTCAACTTCTCTTCTTTCTCCCTCTCTCACGTTGGTTGTGTGTGTGTGGGCTCAACATGTGTTAACATGAGGAAAAAGGAGAGAGTAGGAGTACACAAGAAGCCTTATATAGGCTTGTCTAATGGTAGATAATTAAGACTAATAAAATGAGCCATTAAATTAATCTAATTTAATCGTTCTGAATCGAATTTTAATTGACCCTATCATAATGTTCTAAAAATTCCAATTAACACATAAATCAAGTCAATTTTTGAATCGGATGCTGATAAGGCCTTAAATTCGCAGACCGAAATAGAAACATGAATAGATCTTTTTATGTTAAACAAATATAAACACAAAATAACGCAATGCACATGTAATTAACTCAGGATTTCTCCTTAATTACTTGTTAGGCATAATTAAGCATGGATTAACTCTAATCATGGGTTAGGGTTATTACATTTATGATTAGTATACACTTCACAGGTCACTCCATATAGAGATAATGGCGCCAAATTTTTGGAGCAAAAACTACCACTGTAAGTTTAAGGTCATGAGTCGGATAATTCTTTTCATGTGGTCGAAGTTGTCGCGAAGCATATGCAATTACATTCCCACTCTGCATTAATACACACTCTAGGCCTTTGTATGAAGCATCACTGTAAATCTGAAACCCATCTATACCATTAGGTAGAGTTAGAATTGGTGCAGTCACTAATCTAGTTTTTAACTCTTGGAAGGCAGACTCTCTTTGATCATTCCAATCAAACGACACATTTTTCTATGTCAACTGTGTCAATGGCATGACAAGTTTGGAGAAGTCTTTCACAAATCTTCTATAATAGCCAGCAAGCCCAAAAAGCTTCTGACTTCTGACACACTGGTTGGTTTTGGCCAATTCACAATGGCCTTGATCTTTTGTGGGTCAACATAGATGCCATCTTCATTGATCACATGCCCTAGAAAGGTCACACTATCAAGCCAAAATTCACAATTGGAGAGTTTCGCATACAATTTCCTTCTTTTAGAATCTGTAGTGTCACGTCCTCAAACCCGCCCCTACAAGTTTCGACATGACCCGTTCGAAAACAAACATTTAACCTGTTGTATATAACATACGGGCCTTATCGGAAGCATATAATAAGAAAATAACGATACATATAATCCCCATTGAGCTACATCTACATGCCAGTATCTCACATGCACCACAAGCACCATAAAAAATAGATAAAGTTCCCAACTATATCTCATAGCATCAGTTATACACAAACATACATACAGTCGCAGCCCCATCATGGGCTTAAACGAAAATCATTGAAGTTCTATACATTCAACCTTAAATGGGTAATCAAAGGTAAGCCAATATCTTAATAAACTTTACAAAAATAAATGGCTTCGTGCAGTGCCTGGACCCACGAAGGTTGACAAAAGAAAACGGGTGTCAGGGCTAGGACTGACCACCTGGTTGGTTACCTACAGAAACAGACATAACACAGAGTGAGCCAAGCTCAGTAAATAGTAATACATAAATAAAATAATGCTTGACTTGAAATAGAATACATCAAAGCATAAAAAGGTGCACACATAGTTGGTCTAAATTTGTATTAATTTCATGACGGTCTTGGCTCATTCTTGAAACATGGTAGCTTGCAACATGATATCTTGAAACATGATGGCTATAAGCCCTTAAACGTAATGGCACAAAGCCCTTACACATGGTGGCGTTAAGCCCTTGAACATAGTGGCATGAGGCCCTTGAATAAGTTGGCATTAAGCCCTTGAACATGCTTGTATGAACTCAAGAGGTGTCTCACACGGACTCTAGAGGTGGCTCATATCGTAGCACTTAGTTCCGCGTAGCACTTTGTTTCTTATTACAATAACCGAATAACATGGTTTCAGAGTCTTATTGAATGAATGTTTTTCATCTTTCCCATTTCTTTCTTTACATATTTTGAAACATAACATAGTTGAATTTTATGCATGAACATAATACTCAAGACAATCATTAGCTATATTTGAAGCATATAATGGTACTACTACTTACAGTGTTGTAATGACGTGCTTGTTCCTCCCGAAGTGTGCCCTGCACACATTCAAACTTACATATTAGCTCATTTCCCATATCAAATTATTTTCTATTCCGTTTTGTTTCGAAGGAATTTATCAATATTGAAAAGGCATCAAATATACATTTCGACAACATTAGAGGGTCCTACACGTAAAACGGAGCAAGTCATACTTTTCAACATCTGCCGCACATGCGGCTAGGATCCCCGCACGTGCGGCGGCTGGTCCTGCACGTGCGGCCCGCACGTGCCTTTTAGGCAGAATCAAAACTCCAATTTTGTTCTTCTCCCGCACGTGCGGCCACAACCCCCGCACGTGCGGCAGTGACTCCCGCACGTGCGGCGATTCTGCATTTTCCCAATCCGAAATTCTGCAATATTTCAACCCTTGGTGCATATTTAAGGGGTTTAACTTGGGGCTTTTTATGGCTGATTCATGGTTCATTCGTGGTTCAAAAAGCATGTAAATCAGGGTACAACACACAACATATTAAACTCATGAACACAACTTAATTGACTTGGACAAGAACATGGCATAATTAAAGCTCATTAAGATAATTTCATTCTTGAGGCTCTTAACTTCACACACACATGTATAGATATACAAAAACATGGCATAAGCATGGGTAGATAACTTGAATTGGGTCCAAAATACACATGTAGTAGAATTATCATGCCAAGTCTTCAACACACACACACATCCAAGATTTTATACAACATCAAAAGCTTCCTCTTTCAAAATTGAGGGAGAGGATTGGGTTAGGGAAATCCAACTTACCTTGGCTTCATTTTCTCTCTACTCTCCCTTGATCTTAGCCTTTCTTCCTTTTCTCCCAAGACGTATGTTATATGAAGTGTCTAAGTCTTGAGGCTTCTCATAGACATACATATATATATATATATATATAGATTGAATAAAGACGAAAATCAATCGTTTAAACATCGGTCGGGTTATTACACTCTTCCCCCCTTAAATAAGTTTGGTCCCTCTAACTTGTTTTACCTTAGGATAGAAACAAATGTGGATACTGATGTTGCATTTCTTCCTCTCTTTCCCAAGTTGCGTCAATTCCATAATGTTCTTGCCACTCCACTTCTACCATTGGAATTTCTCGATGTCGTAGTTGTTTCACTTGTCGGTCCAAAATGCGGATTGGTTTTTCCTCACACATAAGCTTATCATCCAACTCAATTTGATGGTAGTCAATAACATGTGACGGATCTGGAAGATATCCGCGAAGCATAAAGACATGACACACGTTATGCACTTGACTCATATTTGGTGGGAGAGCAACTCGATAAGCTACTGGACCTACTCTTTCCAGAATTTGGAAGGGACCAACATAACGGGGTGTCAACTTACCGCTTTTTCCAAACCTTGGGTGGCCTCTCATCGGAGTGGCCTCAATAAAGACATGATCATCTGCTTTAAATTCTAAGTCCCTCCGTCAGTTGTCTGCATAACTTTTCTGTCTACTTTGAGCAGTTTTCAATCTCTCCCGAATAATTTTAACCTTTTCAGTGGTCAACTGAACAATTTTAGGTCCGAGTGAGGATTTATCTCCAACTTCAGCCCAACATACGGGAGAACGACATTGTCTTCCATACAGAGCTTCATAGGGTGCCATTTCAATACTTGAGTGGTAACTATTGTTGTATGCGAACTCTACCAACGGTAGGTGGGTTTCCCAACTTTCTTGAAAATCTAAAACACACATTCGGAGCATATCCTCTAGAGTCTGTATTGTTCTCTCAGATTGCCCATCAGTCTGAGGATGAAAAGCTATGCTGAACTTTAACTCGGTACCCATGGCTTCTTGTAAACTCTGCCAGAATCTGGAAACAAACTTCAGATCTCTATCTGACACAATTGAGACCGGTACACCATGCAGCCTTACGATTTCGTTCACATAAATTACTGCCAATTTGTCTGCATTATACTGAGTCTTCACAGGTAAGAAATGGGCGGACTTAGTTAATCGGTCCACAATGACCCATATTGAATTCATGCCTCGAGGAGTCCGTGGTAACCCCACGACGAAATCCATGGTCAAATGTTCCCACTTCGATTCTGGGATTGGAAGGGGTTGTAGTAACCCTGCTGGCCTCTGATGCTCCGCTTTCACTTGCTGACATTGCAAACATTTAGAGACGAACTCCGCAATCTCTTTCTTCATACTTGGCCACCAAAAATTTTGTTTCAAATCTCGGTACATTTTGGTACTCCCTGGATGTATTGCAAATCTTGAAGTGTGTGCTTCTTCCATCAGTTTTTGTTTAAGGTTCAACACATTGGGAACACATATTCGGTTTTGAAACTTGAGCACCGTGTCCACCAAACTAAACCCCGGCCTCGACTTGGTTCCTAACTCATCACTTATCTTCCTTAAAGTATCATCTTTCATCTGTTGCAATTTAATCTCCTCAATTAAGGCTGGTTGGGCTCTTATGGCTATCACTAAAGCTTCTTGTCCATGTAATACGAGATCCACGTCCATTTTGGCCAATTCATTTGCTAATTCCTTTTGCCCTGCAACCAAATTTGCTAAAATCCCCACACTTTTCCGACTCAGCGCATCCGCAACTGTGTTGGCTTTGCCAGGATGGTAATGGATCTACAAATCATAATCTTTAATAAGTTCTAACCACCTTCGTTGCCGCATATTCAACTCTTTCTGAGTAAAAAGGTATTTGAAACTTTTGTGGTCGGTGTACACTTCACAAGTAGTGCCATACAAATAGTGCCGCCATATCTTTAAAGCAAAAACTACCGCCGCGAGCTCAAGATCATGCGTGGGATAATTCTTTTCATGAGGTTTAAGTTGTCACGAAGCATAGGCGATAACCCTTCCACCTTGCATAAGCACACACCCTAATCCTTTATGGGACGCATCACTATAAATTACAAACCCTTTCGGTACCAGACGGTAAAGCCAGAACTGGAGCTGTGGTTAACTTCGTCTTTAATTCTTGGAAAGCAGATTCCCGCTCTTCTAACCATTCAAATGCAACGCCCTTTCGAGTCAGTTGTGTAAGCGGCACAACAATTTTGGAAAAATCTTAAACAAACCGTCTGTAATAACGGGCTAACCCCATAAAGCTACGCACTTCTGTCACATTAGTGGGAGTTGGCCAATTCACGATCGCCTCAATCTTATGTGGATCAACAGAAACTCCTTTTGTGATAACATGCCCCAGAAATGCCACTTCTCGTAGCCAAAATTCACATTTCTTCAATTTTGCATACAATTTCTTTTCCCGGAGGGTATGAAGGATCAACCGAAGATAATTCTCGTGAGCTTCTGCATTCTTTGAATAAATGAGAATATCATCAATAAAGACTACTACAAATTCATCCAAATAGGGCTTAAAGACGCGGTTCATCAAATCCATAAAGGCTGCTGGGGCGTTCGTAACTCCAAAGGGCATAACTAGAAACTCATAATGACTGTACCAGGTTCGAAAAGTTGTCTTCTCAACGTCATCAGCTTTAACCTTTAATTGATGGTATCCAGACCGTAAATCGATCTTCGAAAAGACTTGAGCCCCTTGTAGTTGATCAAATAAGTCATCAATCCTTGGCAACGGGTATTTATTCTTGATTGTTACTTTATTAAGTTCCCTGTAATCGATACAAAGCCGAAGTGTCCCATCCTTCTTTTTTACAAACAAAACTGGTGCACCCCATGGAGACACACTTGGACGGATAAATCCTTTGTCCAATAAATCTTGCAATTGGATTTTTAATTCCTTCATCTTAGCTGGTGACATTCTATAGGGAGTCTTAGATATGGGTTGAGTTCCCGGGGTTACATCGATTGTAAACTCAATCTCACGGTCTATTAACTGCCCAGGTAACTCCTTTGGAAAGACATCCGGAAATTCACAAACGACTGGGATCATGTCGGTATTCCCGTTCACTACTTGTTCCTCCAGAACGCTGCATAAGTACCCCCGACACCCTTTCTGAATTAATTTACAAACTTTTGCTACAGAGATCAAATACGGTGGAGAAGTTACTTCCTGTCCTTGAAAAACGGACTCGATTTGTCCCGGAGGGTGAAAACTAATTTGCTTCGTCACACAGTCTATAGTTGCGCCATTTTCACTCAACCAATCCATTCCCAGAATAATGTCGAAATACGTCATGTTGAGTGGTAACAGGTTAGCGTATGCCCGAATATCTCCAAAGTGGAGCTCGCAAGCGACATATATGGAAGTACAAATTATAGAATTCCCCAAAGGTGAGGACACAGATAGTATATAAGATAAGACTTCTTCAGGTTTATCTAGATGAGGAGCAAATAGTTTTGACACGAAAGAATGCGTAGAGCCAGAATCAAATAATATACAAGCAGAGTGACCATGAAACATAAATGTACCTGACACCACTGTTGCCGCATTTTGCACATCTCCCGGAACCAAGGCAAACACCCTGCCCTGTCTTGCCGTATCTTTGTTGTTAGTAGATTTGATCGGTGCCTTGGTGTTGGTGGTTGGTGTCGACCCCGCTGAACTGGTAGCAGTTCTATTGCCATTTTGTTGCTACTTCCTCTGAGGGCAATTCTTGATCACATGACCTGTTTTTCCACAGTGAAAGCAGGCTCCAGACCCCTGATAGCACGTTCCACGATGCCTCTTTCCACACTCTGAACATACAGGAATTGAACCCTAACTGGGGGTTGAAGTAGTTGAAGTCCCTGAATTTTGTTTCTTGTTTGCTGGAGTAATTGACCCCTTCGACCACTGGGTATTCTGTCTCTTTCCTTTCCATTCAGAGATTCGGTTCTGATTAGCGAGGTTTCCTTCTACTATGACCGCCCTCTCCAACACATCGACATAAGTGGGTAGTTTCAGCATATTAACCTTGTCCAGAATAGCACCCCGTAGTCCCCCTTCAAACTTCCATGCCTTCTTATAGTCTGTGTCTACCATATGAGGCGCGAACCGGGCTAGTTCCGCAAATTGGGCTTCATACTCAGCAACGGTCTTATTCCCTTGTCGGAGAGTCTCAAATTCAATTATCTTCTTATCTCGTATACTTTGAGGGAAATACTTATCATAAAACAATTCCAAGAACCTCTCCCATGTCAACCCTTGATGCATAGTTCTCGCAAGCATCCACCACCTTCGCGCCTTGTCTTCAAGAGTAAAGGCAGCCAGTTTCACCTTTTGAGCTTCGGTGCAAGGAAAAACTTCAAATAACTTCTCTATTCCCAACACCCATGCCTCCGCCTTCATTGGCTCTATTCCTCCTTTGAAGGATGGCGGCTTCATCTTTTTAAACTCCTTAGTGAGGGTAATGGTCCGGCCTTCAGCATGAAAGTCTTGCACTACAGGTGGAGGTACCGGTGGTGGTGGCGGTTGTTGTCGAGGCTGTTGTTGTTGTTGTCGTAGGGTTTCCGCCATTTCCATAATCATTCTCTCCATCCTATCCAACCGTGCAGAGGTAGCATCCTCCGCATCTTCTATCCTTGTCCTCACCATAGCCTGCACGACAATCAATTATATACAATAGACATAATTTCAAATTGTTAGCATTATCAGAGTTCATATAACGTTGCCAGCAACCTTTCATTTACTTACAGAGTGTCATGCATGATGCCTAAATCTTTTCCAGACACCCTAAAGCTCAATGGATTTGTGTGTGAGATAGCAACTCGTGCTCTCATACCACTTGTCACATCCTCAAACCCGCCCCTACAAGTTTGGAATGACCCGTTCGAAAACAAACATTTAACCTGTTGTATATAACATACGGGGCCTTATCGGAAGCATATAATAAGAAAATAACAATACATATAATCTCCATTGAGCTACATCTACATTCTAGGATCTCACATGCATCATAAGCACCATAGAATATAGATAAAGTTCCAAATTATATCTCATAGCATCAGTTATATACAAACATACATACAGTCCCAGCCCCATCATGGGCTTATACGAAAATCATTGAAGTTCTATACATTCAACCTTAAATGGGTAATCAAAGGTAAGCCAATATCTTAACAAACTTTACAAAAATAAATGGCTTCGTGCAGTGCCTGGACCCACGAAGGTTGACAAAAGAAAACGGGTGTCAGGACTAGGGCTGACCACCTGGTTGGTTACCTACAGAAACAGACATAACACAGAGTAAGCCAAGCTCAGTAAATAGTAGTACATAAATAAAATAATGCTTGACTTGAAATAGAATACATCAGAGCACAAAAAGGTGCACACATAGTTGATCTAAATCCGTATTAATTTCATGACGGTCTTGGCTCAGTCTTGAAACATGGTAGCTTGCAACATGATATCTTGAAACATGATGGCTATAAGCCCTTAAACGTAATGGCACAAGCCCTTAAACATGGTGGCGTTAAGCCCTTGAACATAGTGGCACGAGGCCCTTGAGTA